AAGTTATCGCATCGAAAGAAATATCAGATGTGTTTTTGGTTGAGGAATAGGCGACTGAGACAAAAAGACAAATGGGTGAGAAAAGAGGGCTATAAAAAGTGAAGAAAATAGAGAGACATGCAAATCTGAGCTAGAGAAAACTCCGTAGCCAGAGCATCTCTGCCCAAATATTCACTCCCATTCCAGAGCTCTGCCCAAGCGTCAGTGAAATGCTCAGACCGGCTGCGGGTCAGCTCCGAGAGCGGATGTAAGAGTGACGTAACGTGACGTGACGTGACGTGACGTGACGGTCATCCGTCCGCGGCGGCACCGGCGGCCCCCTGGAGGGCCGGGCGCAGAACAAACAGCGCTGTCACCACCGTAGACAGGCGCGCAAACAGACCGCCGAGAGGCACGCCGCCTTCACGGAAGGTGCGGAGGCCAGCATGGTGCACTGTGTGCCAGTGGCAGAGTCCAGAGTCAGAGTCCAGCTTGCCAGAGTCGAGCGAAGTGTACTATGCGCCAGTGGCAGACGTCGGGTATCGAGTTTAGCCCACGGGGATCCTCATACCCAACTGAGGGAAGCTTCAGTGTCGGCTCCCAAAACTACAACTGTGAACTCGAGGAGACCTGTTCAGACCAGTCAGGTACATGGACAGCTCGCTGCTTAGCTCATCTACTTGATATCTCAACTCCCAAGCCGTGCAGTGCTTAGCTCCGATTGCAGGACATATGCTCCCGTCCGCTCCCCCTGGAGAGGCCCGAGCTGGCATCAGAGGATGCCTGATGTCATGAGGCGACTGACGTCAGAGGTCGTCTGGCCAGGCCGCGGAGATCACGTGACCAGCCGATGACTGGGTCAGGTGTGATTCAGCGGTGCTGCGCTGGCTCCGACCTCATGCTTCCGTGCCGCGAACAGCAGATGTAAACAACAGGCCCTGGCAGCCCCTGGACGCAGCTGGTTGGCGGCGACGAGGATTGATAGCACTGGGCCAGACCGATATAAATCAAGCCTTGTGTTGGTGCAATGCATTGCTGCATGGTGCAGAAGCGTCGTGGCTTTGGTCTCTGGACAATAACCGTAATTCTGCATCATGAGTTTAAAGTCCTGCGGTGGGTCGCTGCATGAGACGTCACAATTATTTCTCATTTTCTCGGAATTGATGCCAAGCTATTCCTAGGCATAAATGTGTTCTCACAGACTAAGGAATGCAAAACAGATTCGTGGCTCATCTTCGAACTACGCAGTGCACATGGGTCTCGAAATAAAATGTAATCGTCTGAGCATTCAGCCGAACCTACTGGCATTTGTTGCGTCTGGCCCTTCAGAGCAACACATATTCCAAGCCATGAGCCACAAATATCGTTTGTGGTCCCGCAATAGCCATACGGCCTGTTTGCTTTGCCTTACTTGTTTTTCGACAGGCATAATTGGTAACTCGACTACCTGAGGCACACTGCACGTACTGACTGTCATGCTATACGACGAGACTACGACCTCGCAGGCGCCCGCTTACGGCGCGGGTCGTAGAGCCGCGTCATCCCAAACCACCCACACATCCGGTGCCGACATTCGACGGAGCAGCGACGCTACTGAAAGCAAAAATCCTGCGCCGCAAACACCTTGCTGATAGTGCAACAGGCCAGTAACCACGATTTGAAGGGATCCTGGCAGGCTTTCAGGCGGCTTTATGGAGAAGGTGGCGATGCGTTCTTTTCATGTCATAGACAGTTTGACCTTGGCATTCCAGCATGCAGGCGTGGACAGTGTTCATCACCGGTCAGGAGAGCTATTTTTGATGCGTTCTTTCGCATTCCCGTACCGGATTCTAACGACCACCGAGAGGAATAAGGCAATATCTTTGCTCATGAATATCAGCATCAACGTATGGCATGAGCAAACCACAATAAATGTATGCGCGGTGACAGGAGGAATAAAAGCAGAGACGTCCGATGCCGAGTGAAGTCGACTGGGCGCGATGCTTGTTACGTGCCTGTGATAGCGTCCAGGGCATCCGCCAAGAACGCTCAGCTATGGCTATATAAAATTCACAACAGCTTGTAAGCAAGCAGCTCGAAACGAACTTCTCCCTGTTGTGTTGAAAACCGCAGTTTGCGGAACTGTTTTACGGCACTGCCTGAGAAGCATCCGGGTACTTCAAACCCGAGCAACCCCTTAAGAAAGCGATTCGACACTTGTGCCAGTTTACTCCTCGTGTTTTTGCTTTGCTTTTGCTCTTACTGTTTTTACTTCGCCGGAGTTGTGCCACAGGCGAACAAAGACGCATTTCCTCACCACTTGAATATGTTTCATCTATCAATACCAGAGTTTCCGGCATGCATATTCCTGGTGGTTGAATGCATTCGTAATAGCGGAGATTTTCGTCGCATTGATAGAGTAGTTATCCTTCAGAATAGGCCCACGAGCACGGAGCTGCGTCGGCGACTCCGGGCACTTGAAGTTCAGTGGACGGCTGGTACGTGGCAGCACTGCAGGCATAGTACTCGGAGGGCCAGGATGTGGTAATAGCGAAAGGTTTAGGGCAGAGGTGTTGGAGAGCTGACCTGGACTGCCTCCACAGCACTGAAATGTGACACCACGTGAGCATACACACACGCACACACATCTTTAAAACACAATACATAGCCGAAAAAGGGCGGCACAAGTCTGCACCGAAAAACTTAACTGACCAACAACATCCCAACCAATGTACAAACTGCATTATCGAGTAATAAAAGCAAGCAAACAGTCGCATTAGCCATCCCCCCCCCCCACCCCTCCAATGTCCTGCAATGAATGGAGCCACAAGAATCCTCCGCCACTTAATCACAGAGAGGCAAAACAACGCTGGCAAAGCCCTCATCTCAAGAATCAGGACGTGTTAACTTGGCAGGTCTGCACGGCACTTGAGGCTGCTTCACGTCGCCCACATCCCAGGACCCGTTAAGTGATCGGTGATGACTAGAGCAGCGGCGGACCGCGAGGGTGCCGCCAGCGGGCGTCCATCCTAGGGTAACCCCTGCCGAAACAGCACGTGTTGCCCTTCTACACCCTCAAGCGTCATCCCCCCCCCCCTGACAGGCATTCTGGTGGCTGGACCGATAGGCACGACGATGCCCCTCAATATTGCCTGGCGTTTCCGAATCGTCCTTGTAGCTGAGAGTGGATCCCAGCGACACACAGTGAGACCGCGACCTTGAGGGCTGACCTGGAACTGCTCCCAGAGGAGGCCACCCGCCTGGCCGATGTACAGCGTGGAGGCCGAGTCGAAGACGAGCTCGCGGGGCACGCGGGGCGCGAACGCGCTGGCGTACCGGCTGCAGTTGTAATAGAGCGTCACGTTCTGGTCCAGCGCCTGGATGGCGAACTTGGCCCAGGTGTCTGCGGGTCAGGGGTGCAGGGTCAGGATGAGCGCCGCGCTAAGGGACGTATTCAGGAGGATGGTACCGGTGGCACCAGTGTTGCTACCGGTACCGCCGGTGCCTCTCCCTTATTAAGTATGTATTGGCTTAAGAGCATGTGAGTCAAGTCAAGCTCAAGTCGAGCATGTAAATCAATGTAAACAAGAACAAATCGAGATAGACAAAAACAATTAGCATATTTTAAAAATACGACCTTGTCAAAGGTCATGCAGGCCATCTTGCGCGCATGCGTACACTACAATTGGTTTTAGTCAGCAATTTCGTGCCCTCCTCCACCTTGCGAGGTCCTGTATACGCCCCCGCCCGCAGTGCCCAGGCATAGTCAACACTGCAGTGACAAGCAGAGATGGACAGAGCCAGGACAGCACCAGACAAGATCAGGACAGCACTGTGCAGCCAACCAGTTCGGCGTCAGTCTGTACCAAATGACCACAGATGGCACTTGCCTGGTAATCGCGGTCATACTCGGGTGATGGCAAACAGTGTCACGGCAATTACACACAGAGCGGGAAACTGTCATATGAGGTGTCAGGTCAGCCTCTGACAGGAAGCACCAGAACAGTCCCAGGTGGTATCATCGACTCGGTCTGTGACGGGGCAAACAGCGGAGCTGATGACGGATAAGAGCTGTCACAGGGCAGCACCAGCCCTGCCGTCCCGCTGCTCTAATGGTTAATGTCGTCTGTCTCGTCTAAACAAGGGGTGGCCAGCGGGCGTCGCGGCGGGCTCGAAGCGTGGTCACACAGCCATGTATGACCGAGCCCCAGACAACACATTATGCTTTATGCGCATGAGTCACGGAGAAAGCCATGTCCGTGGGCAGCTGTCTGATATCCTGTATGGTACGCGGCCTCGATGCAATAACGCCTTTTGGCACCGGCCAGACCCGACGTCGCCCCGGATCTTTCAGCAGCGACGCATGATACCGCTTGCCGGCTCCCCCCCCCCCCATACACAAAAGCTGTGACGCAAAATAAGACGGTGACATCCGCGTTAAGGCAGTGACGACCACATCCACGCAGCCAACAGGTCGCCGCCCCGTGGTTGCTCACCTCGAAGCTCGGCACGCTCAAAGCTCTGCATGCTCGGGCGGCCGCTCACCTCGAAGCTCTGCACGCTCCCTCGGCCGCTCACCTCGAAGCTCGGTACGCTGAACGTGGCGATCCGCTGAGAGGCGAAGTGCACCTCCGAGTCGGTGTAGACGAGCGAGATGTTGGTGGTACCGGGCCCACCGGGCGTGATCTGCACGCCGAGCTGCACCACCGTCTCCAGCGGGTTCACGACGGCGAAGAGGAAGCCGCCCTCCGGCTGCGTCGGCCGCACCGTCACGGCGATGGCGAAGTCGCGCGGCATCCGCTCCGGCAGGTAGAGCCGGTACGGGTGCTGACAGAGGGGGGGCGGTCAGGTCAGGCGGTGTCGTCTATGACCGGCTCAGCTGGCGGGGATGCTGACGACACGTGTCATAGCCAGGTCGTATTTCACCCTCCCTGGCATGCATATATGGCTGGTATGAGGCCTGGCAAGATCGACAGCGCTGGATCATGTTCGTGCTGCAGATGACTGCTTAAGCCTACCCCTCTTCAGCGGATTCGCGCCGATCTGGTGAAGCTAACATGCATGCAATCAGAATGAACGGACACTTTCTGATCTGCCGTTCCAATCCGAGGTAAATACAAGATAAGTAATAGATTCGGCTCGTTTGGGAGGCTGACCAGCGATGCTCCAGAGCCCGTTCTCAGGGGGCTTTCACGTAGTGGGCTCCAGCGGCACGAGCCTCCGGTGGCATGTGCCCCTCCCTCCCCTGACCAGATTAGTCATCGGTATTAGCATGCCCGTGAACAAGGGCTGGAAGTCGAAACTTGAAATAGCCCCGTGAAATTTAACAGGTTTGGCACATGCCGTGTGTTTTATGGCACGTAGTAGACCTAACGTCTAACACGCCTGCCGCGCCCTATACCAGGTTTTCAGTGTTTTTTTTTTAGCTGTGCCCCTCGCCCTCCCCCTCTCCGATTGCAAAAATTTTCCTTACGCCCCCGCCGATATACGAGTGCCGCTGGTACCGACCGCAGCGGCACACACACCAGGCAACAGCCCAATTATATTTCGCAACCCTCCCACTCACAAACTTCGAAGAAGCGACCAGTGAGTGGTTCGCGCGCAGGCTACATTAAACCTCGACAGGCGCATGCGTCAAAGCGGCGCCCATCACGCGTGACCGATGACCTCACCTTGACGTCATGCCCCGGCTGAAAACCGAACGCCGGGAAGCCGTCCTCGCCCTCCACGAAGGCCAGCTGCCCGTTCTCCGGAAACGGGATCGGTATGGCCTCCAGCAGATTGACGACCCGGGCGCCCCCTGCAAACACACCCCTCGGTCAGCCGCCGTTTGTTCGCCGCTTGCGACAACACTCAGGCGGTCTAAGTGTCCGCGGCGGTCCAAACCAATCGCACTCCCGGTAATGCAATTCATCAGCGCAGGCCGGAGGCGTCTCCGATAGGCTATGTGACGCTTGACGGCGTTCATAAACATGGCGGCCAGTTCAAAGTGTGTCCCACTGTGTTTAGAAGGGACTTGCGTGGTGATGCAACTCAGGGGCAGGAAGGGGGGGGGCATTCGCTTCACGCCATGAACATTTTTTGACGGATAAACATGTAGACCGTGGTCTAGACACGTCTCCAGTCAAAGGCGTAGCAGTAGGTTTGACGCTCGAATGCTGTGCCTGAACGCGATTTTGACACACTAAAAGAGCGTTGAGATCTTATCTTTCTTGGAACAAGCGGAGCATTTGGATCCTAGACATCAATTCTTCTCAACTCTAACAACTATTGAACAACAGAGTCGTAGGTGTCCTACTGTCAGTGTTGCGCGCTGTGTCCGGCAGTGGCGTTATGGACTGAAACGCTGCCCTAACCAAGTTAGACACCACTGTGGAGCATTGTGAAAACGAGCCGGCAGGGCTATAGTGCAGAAGAGAACATTGACAAAATGCTAGGTGGCAAAGCGCGGATGGTTGTGTCTGCATATTAATAAACATGACATTATACTGACGTTTCACCGAACGCGAAATACAAAGTGGCATTACAGGAGCTTGAGATGCGCTAATTATTGCTCCCTTGTATGGGAATATTTTTTCCCAAACCAACCAATAAATTGATAATCCTGCACAAGATAGCGTTAATGATTATCGATGGTTGCTGACATTTTTCAACCAAAGGTCTGCTCTCATTAGAATCAAGCCTTTTAAGCCCAGATGTAGAGTGAATACATAATATCTTTGTACACATAATACGTGTAGAACAACATAACATCATAATAAAACAGACACGGCGGCCATGAAAAAGTATCTCCTGTCATCAGCTTCAAGTTGTTCATCTTGCGAAGATTTTATTAATGAAAAGTCAATTACAAGAAATGTTTCCCACGCACACGGCGTCTTTTTTGGTCCATGCTTGCAGGATTTGATTAGAACGCCTGAACTCCATGTCACACAACGTGGCTCGCTCAACATAAAACTAAAAGAAGGCTTCAAACTTTGTTATCATATTCTATTTTTGAAAACAACAAGGTACATTTTTCAGCGGTTGTCATATTTGTTTACACGTTTATGTATGCAGCCGTATGCGATAAACGATTCTTTCACCTTTCCTCGTCAACATACGCGGGGATGTAATCAGACTTCGCCCTGGATAACACGCCAGCGCCCTTGGCCACCCTGTTGGCAACCAGAAGTCCATCTGCTCGTCTGCTGGCTGACTACTTTGTAGCCTCTGCTGACGGTAAAAGTGTTAGTGGATGGTAGGTCACCGTGTTTGGCACTAGTAAAATTCGATTGATAATCCGTGGTTTCCAGTGATTGCTAACCGCTGCTACACTGCCATCCCCGTCACTTCACACATGCATCCTAATAATATGATGCGTTTTGGCATAAGAAAAATGACCTTCCGTTCCTAGTTTTTCGGCATTATCAGTTGGAAGTTCTAAGGTTGAGTTAACGACCCCCAGTTATGCCAGGAGGTCCTGGCCAAGCGACGCTGTAATGCTAAAAAACGATGATGAAATTTACAGAGCTTATATAATATATATATTATATATATAATATATATATATATATATATATGTGTGTGTGTGTGTGTGTGTGTGTGTGTGTGTGTCTTGTCGTATTTTTTGTTTCTTAGGAGTGGTGCGACACAAACATCCAATTTTGTAACACCGGCTTTAACGTACGATCTAAGTGCCGCAAAACCAAATGAAAACAGGAACAGGGAGCACTACTGGTCATCTGTGCAAGCGCTTTGGGGAACTACAAAAATTCGTTTTCGAAAGCTGAGGGTTGCCCTGAGTTAAGAGTGTTCGCATAGTGTGGTGCCATTAGCAAATATACTCAAGTCGCTTATCAAAAAATGCTGTCAGGCAGGTCAAACAAATGCTTTGGATTGTACTTACACAAAAATTTGGGGATCATCAGTAATAGTCATGCCTGAACGTCATTCATGAAGATGCCATACAGGACCTCTGACATGCCGTAATGCCGTAAATGAAATATATGATGCGACACACTCACGCTATTGTCATCTGCTTTGCTTATGTTTATGGTTCACATTGCAGACCTCAAACGAAGCGTCGCTTCAAGGCCACGATAGAAAATAGCTTTCAGATTCGGTTATGTTGCTAGCTTTCTTCGCTCGTCAATGACAAACACTTCAAAAGGAAATGCTTCCTATGAGTCATCGTGACAAAGTACGCACAGCAAGCAGCTCGAAATGCCGGTTCGACTGCAGCCTTGTTTCATTGACTAACGCCCACCGGGCTTATGATGAGGTTGGAGGTGAAATAATTACCGCGGGTACGAGGGCCTCGGTCAGCTGACTGTCAGGCAGAACACCCCGCAGAAAGAGTGAACATCCCATAAATATGCCGGCATTAAATCACCACTTCTGGTCAGGACCTTGCTATGTCAGCCTAAGTGATGTATTGCTACCACGGCTTACATTAAGAACACGTGCAGTTTCCTTCCGGATGTTGTCCCATGCTGGTGCGATCTAGCAAAGCCTCCCGATATATTCCAAGTGTCTGGCGAGGGTCTGGGCGAAGTAAAACTATAGCGATGGAGAAAAGCAGCCCTTGGTAGCGGCCACAGTAATACAAATTAGCACTGGTTTAGCTTGCCCCAATCCGGTCCTTCCGCATCAACAGACGAGCAATCGGTTTTCAGCCAGCAGCCGTTCTGGTATGGTCGGGTTTGCAACATCAGTCTCTGACCAAACGTTTTTGCAGTTGTACACATTTATACTGGTCCGTGTCAAGGAAAGTGGGTTCTATGCAACATTTTCTGATGTAATATCTCACTTTGTGCAACGTGACTGCTCACCGTGCTCATACACCAACAATTTATAAGCACTGAAAAGGCGTCTGGTTCTGGTTTGAGCTCCCAATCAAATAGGCTTTAAAGGCAGCCGACCTTCGTGCCGTTGGTGTTCGTGCCAACTAAGCGTGTGGCAACGAGACGCAGATCCGCCACCCAACGTGCGACGCGATCCATTCATCGACATGCGTCGCCAAGGCGTGCCGGTAGTCCCCTCCGACCGATTGGCATGCATCAAACCCGGGAAGGGAGGCAGTGTCGCGACCTATGGCGGCTCCATGTCTGAGCAGGGTCACCACTGGGGTGTCGATAGCGGAAGAGGTTGGACGCGTTCTGCGCAATGCGACGGTTATTTGCGTTCTCCAGGGCGGCAGGCAAGCGATTGCCATATAGCCTCGCAGCTGAGAGAGTCGTTAAAGCACCACCGCCAACACAACAGCAGCAGGTCGCGACTGTCCGTCACACCGGACATCCCCAACATGTCCGGCGACCCCGCCCACCGCCTCCGTCCACGCCGAAACGCTGCGCCACGTGGCCCGCCGGCTGCGGCTGCAGGTCTGCGGCTTCAGGTCTTCAGACCGCAGGCTGGCGCGGCTTCTCACAAGCGGGCGTTGATGACGAGCTGCGGCGATGCGTCCAGGTTGTGACGCGGCCACGGCGGCCGGCGGTCGCCCGGGAAGGCCCCTCTGGCACCTCCGGTGTCAGCCACCGGATATGAGGGACCCCCTCCGGCGCTCACGTCAGCGTAGAGTCCGGGCGACACTTTCTCGTCAATGCAAGATGCAAGAGCGTTTCGCGCCGTATTGACACGGGTCCTTGTGACCCCTCCACGTCGCCACGTGACCTGGCCCGCTCCAGCTGCTGCGGACTGGCAGAGGTCAGGCGGGATCGCTCCACGGATCACGTGTCGCGGGGTCAGAGCCCCCTTTGCATGCTATCCATCAACTATCTCGTCTCCGGCGACCGACGTCGCCCACGTCGCAGCAAGCCCTCAGGGTGAATGGACGGCCGTAGCCAACTTCCAAAGGTTGCCTGCCTGCGCGGTCCCAGCCTCAGCCGTGGCTCCGTTGAGCACAGCTCTGGGTCCCGAGCGTTCGCTCCCTCCCCCCTCTCACCGAGCCAGCCCAGCTGTCCCCGCAGGCCGCGGCGCGACCGATGATGAGGCGATCGGTCGGCCTGAGCCCGCCTGGCAGACCGCGTGACGCGGGCGTATTTTTTCACGGTGGCGACCGGCCGGCGACGCGTCGTAAATCATATTTTAATTTCCTGTCTCTCGGCCGGGTTCGCCGGCGGTCTGAAGGAGCCACCTCCAGAGCGGGGGACGCTCGATATACGCCCGATTGTGGCCAGGCCGCTCGCCGTTGCACGCTCAAATGCGCTGGGGTCAGGGGTCACTGCGACGGCCGGGGGCGTGGCGCGGTGACGGAAGAGTCGTCCGCAGGGGTGGCATCAGTCATGATAGTGACGCGCCTCCCAGACGGACCTCATATTTCGCCGGATTTAGCAGTTCGACTGCGCAAATCGGGTCCGACTCCCGGAAAGGATGCATCATTCATTTACAGGATAGTACCGAGAAGTGGCGATCGGTCGTGTACATACGGTGATTGTACGTAGCCCAATCACCGAAATACATTTTGTTGCAAACATTCACATCAGCATCCGCGCCTTGCATCATGATGGTGAGCTACATCCTGGTGCAGTGGGATCTGTTAATTGATATGGCGCCGGCTGACACTTTTGCCCCGCGGCTATGACGGCTATTGAACAGCTATGCAGGCGAGACCCGCCCACGTCCTGGCGCTGGTGGAGACCGTCGTCCTTGCGTATGGATCCGGACCCAGACTCTGCCCTGGCGTCAGGCAGACTGTCCTGTGGCGGACGGCGATCAGTCGGGTTGACCTACCAATAGGGCCCAAACGCCATCGGTCGGGCGATCCTACCCCATAGACCCCACGCCATCGGTCGGTCCGACCTACCAATAGACCAACGCCAT